GACAGCGGTCACAGAGCTGGAGCGAGCAGGACGGACAGCGGTCACAGGGCTGCAGTGAGCAGGACGGACAGCCATCAAAGAGCTGGAGCAAGCAGATGGCCAGCGGTCAGCAGACTGTTGAAGTGGTAGGCGGGCCGGTATGGTGCAGCCAGGGGACTGGGACCCGGTGTAGTCAGCCTGTCACACATCTTGAATCAGGCAGTGCGGGGAGAGCAAGACCACTTGTGGAAAGCCCTCAGCGTGGACAGACTAAAGGCTATACATGACTATAGCATTTATCTTTTAACTTTATTACTTTATCTTTCTAATTTATCCTATGAAGGTCTGGATTGTAGAACTTTTTGCTTTTCTCTTTATTTCTCTATTTTTATACCTATCTATTTTAGTACCTGTAATAACTGCACAGAGGCTGGTGTCCCATCACCAACTCACCCTTTATTTACTTGTGCAAAGTTCACTGGCTGTGGGCAGCCAGCTCAGAGTCGGTCACCTGAACTGAGGAGATTCTCATCTCCTGGTTGTATTTTTGTCTTTCTTTTTTGGCTGTGGCCAGCCAGCTCAGAGTCAGTCCTCAATTGAGGATATTCTAATCTCCTGGTTATATTAGTCAGCCAGAGCTTTCCATGCTGCAGTGAGGCTGGTTATTAGACTTCTCATGTCAGCCATGAAAATTCACTGTATGTTTGTTGTTTTAGAGAAACCTCATCTCCAGAGCTCTTGTGCAATTTCGCAGCCTGACAGCTGTGAAACTACACTGTAACTGCTTCATAAAAGCCAGTCTCTGAGCCTTATGCAATTCTTCAGATTCTGACCTTGCCACGGGGTCACTCTCCCGAAAATCTCTCTCCTCCCTCCCTTTTAAGGTATCTTTATTTTTATAAAACAATGCAACAACTTGTAAAACAAAACAGCAATTACTGCCTCAAGGAAGTGAGTAAATCCAGCTGAGCGTTGAAAAAACCTCAAAACCAAGAGCAGTTCTCGCAGCCACGATCCTCTCCCTTCCACCATTTTGTTTTGAAAAGAATAAATAACATGCAATCACAGTGACTTTATTACTGCCATAGATATGTTAATAAGCACCTCTTGCAGTGGCAAACAAGATGTGACGCCAGTAAGATTGGCAATTCCTACATGACAACATTGTCCTATGATAATGCTGTCACTTTAAAAAGGTTATTTTGTCCTGGGCATTTTTTTGAAGAGAGGCTGTGAAGGCAGGGATATCGAAGTGGCTAAGGAAGCCGGCCTAAGTCAATAGGTTAAGAGGCCTTTAGTTTTTTTTAAAGCAGTTGTAACAATGGAAGAGGAGTGGCCAGTTCTCCCAGATCAGGCTTTCTAGTTTTTTTTAAGCTGTAGCAAGATGAAGCTGTTTGGGTCCCAAAAAGGGTTGCAAGCTTCAGTAAATGATTCCTAACTGTGACTTTCACTGAAATCTCTCTTGATGTTGTTCCCTTCTGGATTGGGAAACTGCATGTAAGAATGTGTGTCTGAATTTAACTTTTTGCCAAGAGATGTGTTTATGGGATGTTTCTATATTGGAACAGTTAATTAGTAATAGGTACGGTATCTATTATTTGGTTAAGTTTTCCACTAGTAAGTTATTCTAAATTCCTCTTTCTTATGTTTGTATTTTAACTCTAGTGCTTAAATAAATTTAGTTTTGCTTAATGTTGAGTGGTTTGACCAGTTGCATCACATCTGGAGCACCCACTTCATATCTACCTTTAAAAATAACAAAAAGTTACAGTCTAGGCTACCTTCTTAAAATATTTTGAGGGACTTTGGTCTGGTTCATAATACGCCATATAACCTCAATGCAAGTACCCAGTACAGGGATGTTAAGACACCACATGTACACCTTTACATAAACCTAAACACATGGCGCATATTTTTAGTTTGAAATAAGCAGAGACACATTTGGTTTCCTACTTACCCATCGCTCTCAGTATTATACACTACAGCTGCACGATTTGCTGGTTCTATTCCTATCTCTTGTTGCACATTTTCCAAATTACGCTCAAATGTATCCACACTTCCAATATTAAACCATACATAGCTCTAAGTGGGTAAAAGTTAGAATACCAAATTAGTAATCTATCTAGTATGCTGTATTCATGTATTTAGTTCATATCATAAGTAACCAATTTGGTAAATTTAATAAAATTTTTCTGGGGCAACATTAAACGTCCAACTTTAAATTAAGAATTTAATTCTAAATTCTAATTAAATTTGCACAAATTGTTTGAATAAATAGATTATCCTCCATAGGGGTAATGAAAGGAAGTAAGTATGACTAGTGGAGTGCCACAGGGATCACTGCTGGGGCCACAACTATTTACAATACATATTAATGACTTGGACAACAGAAGTGAATGTACCATAGGCAAGTTTGAGAAAACACAAAAATAGATGGGGAGGCAAGCGGTGAGGAGTTTACAAAGGGATATAGTCAGGTTGAGTGGGTAAATGCTTGGCACAGGGAATATAATGGGGGTCAATATGAAGTTACGTACTTTGGCACGAGGAATAAAGGAGCCGAATATTCTTTAAATACGAGAGGGATTTGAGAGTCCTCATGCATAAATCACAAAAAGCTAGCAAACTGGTCCAACATATAATAGGAAAGGCAAATGGAATGTTGGCCTTTACTTCAAAGGGAACGAAGTATAAAAATAGGGAAGTCTTGCCACCACACCTAGAATTCTATGAACAGCTTCGGTCCCCTAATCTATGGAAATATATAATGACATTGGAGGCAGTCCAAAATAGGTTCACTAAATTGATCCCAGTTATGCAGGGATTTCCTTATGAGGCAACACTGAGCAGGTTGGGCTTGTACTCATTGGAGTTTAGAATGTTGTGATGTTACGGAAACATATTTCATTCTTAGGAGGCTTTAGAGGGTACGTGTGGAGAGGTTGTTTTGCCTTGGAGAGATTTAGAATCAGAGGACGTAATATTAGACCAACAGGTCACCTAGTTAGGACAGAGATGAGGAGGATGTGTTTCTCTCACAGTATTATGAATCTGTGTAATTCTTTACTACAGAGGGCTGTAGAGACTGGGTAATTAAGTGTATTCCAGACTGTGACAGATTTTTAAGGGAAGGGAATCAAAGGTTATGGGGAAAAAGCAAGAAGGAAAAAGCAGGAAAATAGAGTTGAGGATCATCAGATCAGCCATGACCTTACTAAATGGCAGAGCAGACGCCTACTTCTGCACCTATATCTGATGATCTTATAAAAATGTATATGACAATATGTGACAATACAGCAATTTTTTCTATAAGTAAAACTCAATACATTACTTGCATATCCAAATATACTCAAGCTTCAATAATGTTTATTCTAGAAAAGTTCAACAGTTAAACACATATATGGAATTTTGGGATACAAATGGAGTTAATGCTTTCATATTGTCCTTTGACCTTAGCCTAAGTTCACATGCATTGTTTTAATTAAATCTGATCAAACATCATCAATATGGTTCCCAAAGGACAGTACTCAGCTGCCAATAACGGAGTGCAAACTGCTTATCTTGGAAGCTACAAAAATGAGGGAAAAAAACTTTTTCAACCTTGCTTTAAGGCACACAATTGGCAGATGCTCTAGCAGAGATGCAAGACATTGGTACTCAAACTAATCCTTGCAGCAGTATTCTATACTAAGACTGACAAAGAAATCAACCCAGCAAATAAAGAAGCAATTTAAAAGCTCAGCATATTTCGCCTGTCTGCTTGTTTGGAGCAGCAAATGGTAGGTTTTAGGGTAAGGGGTGTGTCAAAAGGAGGAAGTCATTAGTTGATCTCTTGGGAACTCGGAATGCAAATATCGTTGCAGTAGTGGTGGATTTTGAAAAAATTGTCTATTGTTTGAAAATATATACATTTCACTTAATGAGGTTCAAAAACATTACAAGTCCAAATGAAACTTCATCCATTGCATTCTTCTAAAGAACTGCAAAATGTTTCTGCTATTTATAAATACATTCTATAGCAATCGCTGCAAGAATGAGACTTGAACTCAGATTATTACAACCTCAGTTGACTGTTCACAAGGATTGCTGCTGAGCATATTAAACGTTAGATATAAGTGCCCTCTACTGGTTAGTCTCATTACTAAAGTTAAATAAAAAGTACAAAATTCTCAATAGTCAAGCTATATTTGTTGAAGACAGAAGGGGGGGCAATGGCCTAGTGGTATTATTGCTGGACTGTTAATCCAGAGACCCAGATAATTTCTGGGGACCCGGATTCGAATCCTGCCATGGCAGATGGTGAAATCTGAATTCAATAAAATATTTGGAATTAAGAATCTAATGATGACAATGAACCCATTGCCGATTATCGGAAAAACCCATCTGATTCACTAATGTTCTTTAGGGAAGGAAACTGCCATCCTTACCTGGTCTGGCCTACATGAGACTCCAAACCCACAGCAATGTGGTTAACTCTGTACTGCCCTCTGGGCAATTAGGGATGGGCAATAAATGCTGCCTGGTTAGTGATGTCCTCATCCCATGAATGAATAAAGGAATTAATATTTCATGTTTATGATTCTGGCAAAGATTCATGCATCAAAAATGAATATATAGATTAACTTCTACTTACAACATCAGTCGTAGTCCCTGGAGTGAAAATTACCCGCACAAACTGCTTATTGACAACCTCTAGGCGATCTACCTGAAATGACAAATAAATAGTGAAAAGATACCTATGCCAGGAACAGTGAAGGATGCATTTCATCAATAGCTATGAAAAGATGATACTATAACACTCCAGAGAACTGTTTATAATTTTGTAAGCTCTCTTTGTATAATCAGTATACAATAATGTGTAGCTTTCAAATTAAAATGCAAATCCCCAAGTTCCTATGAATCGTCAGAAACAAAGCTGAACAAATATCCTCATCTTCAACAAAGAAATATCTTCAAAACTGATATTGTTTTGCTGAACCACAATGGCAGTAATAACTTTTTCCCTACAGTCTGTCCTGGAAAAAACTGTAAAGTAGATGTTTAGATAAATGGAACTCATGCTGACATGGTTTAGTTAGCTACTGAGTTTTAAGGATAAGCAATAAATGCAGACATTGCATATGATGAGGATATCCAAACAACAAATGAAAACAAAAGCAGAGATTATTTTAACGTAACACCCAGTTGCATTATTAATACTCTCCATCACATAAAACATATCAAATATTCAACTTCCCACATACAATTCATGAAAGAAATGAATAGGTCAGTTACAAGATAAACAGTATTGGGCATGTAATAAATGGTATTAACTACAAAATGTAGTATTTTTGATTTTTTTAATAGACTGAAAGGGATAAATGAATATAGTAAATTCAATGGCAGCGTTTGTAATGACAACTTTTCGGACCACTGCTCCGTCATCAGATCAAGTGACTTCACCTGACGAAGGAACAGCATGGTAAAAGCTTGTGATTTCACATAAACCTGTTGGGACTATAACCTGGTGTTGCGTGACTTCAGACTTTGTCCACCCCAGTCCAACACCAGCACCTCCACATCATAGCATTTGTAATGACAATAATCTGCAAAATCAGCAAATATGCAAAAATAAGCTACTATCCATGCATTATATTTCACTTCATGCGATGTAGTCACTGTCTTGGGTTTTGCAAAACTGAAGCAACAACTGATTTGAATTTAATATGGGTGGTGTGAGAAGGAAAGGCTCCATTAAAAGTAATGGATATCAAACAAAATATTTAGAAGGAATTGACAAACACCTTTGAGACACATTCATTTACTCCTTATTTAGGTAATGTTAACCTGTGAGATTTGTAAAATGTGTACTTCTTTTCTGCATTGATCCAGTGCACATGCCATGACCTAGTTCCACTTTGGAAAAACACAATTAAAAACTTTAATTTCATTTATTTTGCGCAGTGGGCTAATTATCTAAGCATTCCACATTTCAATGGAGGTCTTCAGCAAGCCCAATGAAGTGTGTATTGTATAGATAAGTGATGCACAGAACAGGAGTTCATTTCCACTTATAACAAGATGCCTAAGGAAAACTTACTTAAAGGAACAGAAATAAATAAGTTTTTTATTTATTTTAATTATACATTTTGTCATTTTGGGCCAACAATGATTATACAAAAGTATTTTTCAGCTAATCTTTGGTGCATCTTTATTTCAATACATATAATGTTCTGAATGTAATTTTTTAAGCAAACATTTCATCTAATTATCCTTCTTTTCTGAACCAGATCAAAGAAGGAATAATTATCTAAGCACAACAGCAGAACCATTTCCAAAACCATTAAAAAACTTATTGTACAGAAACACTTTTCAGAATTCTGCAAAACAAGATACTTCTTAAAGATAATGGAGTCTGTTAAGCATCACCCATAATTTAAAACTTATTTCACTGAAAATGTAATATTGCATCCAGTTGGAATATACTCAGAATACTCGACCTTTATAACACATCAGTTTCACCTAATGCCAAGTTTACTTAGAAAGCATCCTAGTCATAATATTTTCAAGTGCCACTTGATATGAGAAGGCATGCCAGAGAGATATGAGCATAACAGGACAAGTCTGGCTGTGTGTACCTTGTTACCCGCCAAAACCAAAAGGTTCATGATTTGATTTATAATGGTACACAGGAAGGGAGGATAATGGGTCAGATAATTCTTTCAGAGAGAATACAGGTGAAATAAATTGAATAGCCTCATTCTGTACTCTAAAAATGTCACTGCTTTCTGCTGGCCTGGCACACCTACCTGTCAATGACTGCACTGAGATGGCTCCGCGTCAGCTGCTTGCAGATCTGTTCCACCTGCTGCAAGGACGCTGGCACCCAACCTGCACCATAGGGACAGCACCATCAGTAGCAGGTACGATTACCAGTACAGTCAAATCTTTTGTTTCCACGGTCCAGTCTAGCACGCAGATTATCAGCAGTATCAGCAATTGGCTGCCTGCAGAAGTGTGGAACAAGTGACTGATGCTCCATTAGGATAAAGTGCTATTCCACTTCCTCTACAACTGACTAGCACCAGGGATTGATATAACTGAAAAGTCACTACATTTTAAAAGGTATTGACAGTTGGTGGGGCAAGACCTTACTTTAGCAACTCTACAAGGTGTGCCTCTTTCTTCTGCATCTAACCACCATATTGTAGTGCTGTGTTCTGAGGAGTGCACCTGAGAGTCATAAACAAGATAGCTCTCCTCAGACTTACTTCACCTCCATTTTGCCACTAATCAAACAAAAGCTTTGGATGTTACACTGTTCCATGACTTTGCTAAAGACTCAATTTCCTTCCAAACCTGCAAGCTCTAGAACATAGAATGACAACTGCAGCAAATGCATGGGAGCACTACCATTTGCAAACAACACATCTGCCAGTGAAAAAATATTTCTTTTTGTCTCCATAAATGTTTTGTCTCTCACATTTGCTAATATTTAGACTTTTATTTTTTAACCACTGATGTCAGCCCTGAGAAAGACTTTGAAAATTCAGCTTTCATTAAAGCTATACTGATTTCTTTCTGCACATATACGGCTACATTCATTTTAAATTTTCCAAAGTGAGCCAAAACCTGACTTCTATAAAGGTCCCATCAAGTTCAACTTAAGCAATTTGGCAGAGACAAAGTGCATCACAACTCTAGGTGGAGTCTCATGAATCAACGTGAGCCATATCATCATAGTCATAGAGCTTTACAGCATGGAAACAGATCCTTTGGTCCAACTCGCCCATGCTGACCACATATCCTAAATTAGTCTAGCCCCATTTGCCAGCATTTGGCCCATATCCCTCTAAGCCTTTCTTATTCAAAAACCCATCCAGATGCCTTTTAAATGTTGTAATTATACAAGCCTCCACCACCTCCTTTGGCAGCTCATTTCAAATATGCACTACCCTCTGCATGAAAAAGTTGTCCCTTATGTCCCTTTTAAATCTTGCCCCTCTCACCTTAAACCTATGCCCTCTAGTTTTGGACTCCCCTACCCTGGGGAAAAGAACTTGACTATTCACCTTATCCATGCCCTTCATGATTTTATAAATCCTCTATAAGATCACCTCTTCAGCCTCCGAAGCTCCAGAGAAAATAGCCCCAGCCTATTCAGCCTCTTCCTATAGCTCAAAACATCCAAACCTGGCAACATTTTTGTAAATGCTTTCTGAATCCTTTCAAGTTTAACAACATCCTTCCTATAGCAAGGAGACCACAGCTGAATGCAGTGCTCTAAAAGTGGCCTAACCAACGTCCTGTATAGCCACAACATGAACTCCCAACTCCTCTACTCAATGCACTGGCCAATAAAGGCAAGCTTGCCTAATTTCTGCTTTCTGGTACTAAGCAGGAGCAGGAATCATGTGAAGTGAGATCATCCAACTTGTCAGAAAAAGAGGACTGAATTTAGGGATTTCATCCCCAGTACAGGTGAATGCCTTATCTCATAGTTAATGATTGGCTCTCATGGTATATCAAAGCTATACACAATTTTTGTCGCATTCACACAGAGGGTGGTTTGTATGTGGAATGAACTGCCAGATGAACAGGTAGATACAGGTACAGTTACAACATTTAAAAGACATTTGGATAAGTAAGTAAATAGGTAAGGTTTGGAGGGATATGAGCCAAATGCAGGCAAGTGGGACTAATTTAGTTTGGGAAAGTTGGTTGGCATGGACATGTTGGACCAAAGGGTCTGTTTCCATATTGTATGACTTTATGCTTCATCCAAAGGGATGCACATTTTAAAATGACTTACCACACCACGTGCTAGATAATAATTTACAAAATCTTTCCAAGTGATCTCCCTGCCAGGATTTCGGTAATAAAAATACATGAATCCAGAGAAAAGTCCAGCTATTCCCACAACCAAATATCGAAATTCTTTATCATCCCATGGAAAGTCTCCCTAGAATTAATAAAAAGAACACAGAAGATATCACATAAAAGTGTTTGCATCAACTACTAACTCTCTGCAAATTATTAGGTATGGAAATGACTGACAATCAAATCACAAATTTTTTTTTAAGTGGGAAGCTTTACAGTTGTGAAATTATTAAAGCTAGTAGTTGGAAAAAAGATTAAAATCCAAATATTGAAATCCTGGTTAAATATTGGGTTACATTGAAACCTACATATTTATTCAATTAATGAAGTTATAATATTGTGTGTAATTGTTGCTCAAAGAATCACTTGAGAGCCAACTGTCATGTGTTAGCAATATAATAAATTTGTCATGTTTATTAGAAGAATCTATTTTCAGAATTATCCTGGAACTATTCATGTATTCAAAACGCTAGAAATTCAGATTCAAAGTTAAAAGTAACATTTGAGTTATGTTCACAGTAGAACTACAAGACTGTTAATTTAAACAATTCTTTAATTTAGAAATAGTAAACAAGAATGAATCCTTCAACAGTAACTTAATATAATATAAATGTATAGATCTGGTTTAGTAGATTTTATCTCTATACTTTTGGTATTTGTTTCAATTACAGAATACTGGATAGGATTTGTTTTTACATGATCACAAATTTTACTTAAACGTAAAGTGTCAGCTCTCCTAATTAACTGCGCCTAGTCACCAGCAAGAGGTGAATGAACTTTACTAAAAACAAACCTTCTGTAACCGGTTCCACCAAGCAGATTCCTCTTTCTTCCCACTTTTCTTACCACTGCCTCTTGGTCCACCTCCTGTACCTCCTCCAGACTCCTTTGGCTTTGCTGAAGACAAAGGCACCACAATATTGAGAGATGTTTTGATCTTTTATTCAGAAGCATTTATTTCTATTTTTATTAATGGGATAGGCATTGCTAGCACCCACAATTTATTGCCCATCCCAAACTGTCCATCAGAAGGTAACTTTCTTGAAACACTTCAGTCCACGTGGCAAAGGTTCTCCTATGGTTCTGTTGGTTAGGGAGTGTCAGAATACTGATGTAGTGATGACGAAAGAACAGTAATATACTCCCAAGTCAGAATGATGAATGACAAGGTGGTACTTGCAGGCAGAGATGTCGCCAGATGCCTGCTTTTTTCCTTCTAGATGGTAGAGGTTATAGTTACCCAAACAAAACTATCAAAATGACATACTACTATGGGTACAAGTTTTATCTAAACCAAGGGGTAGGACAGCTAATAGCTGGACAAACTAACACCAACCAATGTAATAATGGCATAATTAGGCATATTATATTTTTAAATTAGTAATCCAGAGGACATGGGTTCACGGTAGCTAAAAACAAATCCGAAAATTAAAAAATCTGGTATCAGCAAAAGTGACTGCAAAGCTCTGCAACTGCCATAAAAAACCTCATTGGTTTGGTAGCGTCATTTAGCAACGGAAACTTATTGCTTTAACCTAGCCTGACACATAGACAATGCCGGTTTTCAACAATGTGGTTGACACTAAACTGTCCTAAGTAGCTTAACAATCCACTTAGGTTCCTTCTTGGGGTATCTAAGATGGGCAACAAGTACCAGTATTGCCAGCCAGAACCACATCACAAAAATGAAACTTAAAAGTTATGCACTTAAAATAATTTGATTATTACAAATATCGATTATGGAACAGTACAGGTGTTAAGAGATCGAATACAGGCAGGTGATTTATTCAATCAGCAAGTTCAATTTCAGGGGCTAAACCCAAGAGTGCTTTACCTTTAACGTCATTGGCTTTTGGTCCTGTTGCCGGTTTATTTTTGGGAAAATACTTCTCAAATCCTGAAGCAAGAAATAAGTAAATTAAAAAGCCACTTCTTCATTACCTCTGAAAATACCAATTAATGGAATAATTTCTATTAGTAACTTCAAATGCCTAGCAAGATGAAATAAAACAAATTACATGCTGGAGAAAAAGACCATGTAGGATTCAGAGCAGTGGAAAAGGTATTAATAGGGTATCACATGTTTCCAATATGGTCCGACGTTCTATAGTTCAATGTTAGCGCCATTGCTACATTTGACACTGCACACCTACTCCACAGGAGAGCAAACTGATAAGTTTCTTTGGATATCTGTAGAATCTTCAACTGTTAATATTCTAAGAAAGTTAATAAATTGATCTTTTGAAAATAATTGTGATGTTAAAACTGCATGACATAAAAAAAATCAACTAATGAACATTCAATACACTCAGATGCAATTTCTTTGTTTGCTGCTTTATCTAATGTCTTAACTAACATAGTAAACTTCATATGAATATATTGGGCGTTTGTAAGTTCATCAGATTCCCTTAGCAGATAGGGAAGGAAGCAGCAATCTGCCACAATTCTATTGTTGTCATTAATTTTAGAGGAAACATGACACATAGCACATTAGATTCAACTGTAAAGTTGCTAAATTTGCTCTGAATTAAAGAAACTAAGTGCAGGGATTTAAAAAGATGTTGTAAATCATCAGTTTGGCTATGGTATAAATAAGAATGGATTCTTTTACATTTACCTGTTGGCTCTTTCGAAGTGTGCAATCTAAAAGTCAATGCATTTTCCTGATGTCCTGAACTTCTGTCAGTCCTGATATACTGGGGTTAAAGACAAAAAACAATAAACTCAGGACTGGGATCCCTCAGCATGAACATCAAAATACGGTAGTTTTCTAACAGAGTTATTTAGTATCATAGAATCCCTGTAGAATAGAAGCAGGCCATTCGGCCCATTCAGTCTACACTGACCCTCCCAGAGAATCCCACCCAGACCCACCCCGTCCCTGTAACCCTGCATTTCCCATGGCTAGCCACTTAGCCTGCACATCCATGGACACTATGAGCAATTTAGCACAGCCAATTCACCTAACCTGCACATCTTTGGACTGTGGGAGGGAAACAGAGAACCAGGAGGAAACCCACACAGACGCAAGGAGAATGTGCAAATTCCAAACAGACAGATGCCCAAGGCTGGAAATGAACCAAGTCCCTGGCACTGTAAGACAACTGTGCTAACCACTGTGCTGCCCAGAACATTACTTGAGAATCTGGATTAATAAAAATCCATTGATAATAAATTTCAAAACCTATTAAGACTTTAAACACTTCATTCCAGTATAACTAGTAGCAAACAGGCAAGTTTAAAATTATCTGTTGAAATTTTTATTATCATCCCCTAAGTGCCCTCCATTCGTAATACTCAGGAATCTATCTCCATTTCTTTAATCCTGTACTGATCAAACTGTTGACCACCCAGTTTCCTTCCCTGGTTCCCACATTAGCTGATATTGTGAAAGGCACCCTCTCCAAAGACACTGTCCCCTACCCTTCAAATGAGTCCCTTCCATAAAACAACAATTCTGTCCTGGCAATCTACTACGATATAAAGTTCTTTAATAATTTGTCAATGCCCACTTTTCCAAAACTCTTATTTCTGATCCCCTACAACCAGACTTCCACCTCGACCACACCGTAAACTGTCTCTCCTTATTTTTGGCCTTTCTACAGACTTTAACATGATTGACACCCCAGTGTCCACCTAGTGAACTCACTCAGTTTCACTACCCATTCAGTGGGTGTTCTCCTTGTTAGAAAGACTAGGACTACAGAGCACTGTAATTTAAAAAGAAGAGGTCACCAATTTATGATAGAGATATGGAAACTTTTTTCTCTCAAAGGGTTATTGTTCTGTGCAACACAGAGCAGTGGAGGCAGGCACAATTCAATATTTTAAAGACTGAATTACATGGATTCTTGACAAGGGAGGCAAAGGGTAAAGGGAATAGAGGGGAAATTGAAGTTGAGGCCAAAAATTAGAGCAGTCACGATCTTAGCAAATGGAAGAGTAGGCTTGAGATGCCAAATAGTCTACTCAAATTCCTAATTCATATGCTCATTTATGTGCAAAATCACATGCAATTGGTTCATCTTTATGTTCCAAAAATCATTGCCTCTGCACTCTCCAAATTAATTACCCTTGCCTCTTCCTATCACACATCTGTGTTGTCCCTGAATAACTTCATCTGCAAATAGGTCAAGCACCACATGTGGCTTATGATACAGACTTCAGCACACTTCTCTTGATTCCTCCACTGCTTCTGATTTGTCATGCTGCTTTGTTTGAGGTTCAGTAATCCAACTAGATTCTGGAAGTCTAAAGCCACGGTATTTAGGCACCATCACAAACTTTTATCTTGCCACTGTCTGAGGCAACATTAGACTGCTCAGACCTTTGTCATTTTATTTGATGTTGAGCTGAGCCTTCAAATCTCTAAACTCTCCATCACTAGGATCACTGCTTCTTGATCTGCCACAGTACCCTAACGTACCTCCTTCATCATCAATGCCTTTATTAATTGTAGGCAGTTCCACTGGTCTCTGGTTCAGACTTTCATCTTTTCTCATTGGTAAACTTGGAATTCATCCAAAACCCTATTAACTCTTGCCAAGTCCTATCCACTTTTCAGGGCTGGAGTAGGCCATTTGGCCCCTGAAGTCGTCTTAGTGGATTGCAGCCCAGCAAAACCTTGACTTTAAAACAATCTTTCTTGACTGCAAATCCCACCATGGTCCTATTCCTGTAATTTTCTCCATTCCAGAAACTTCTGATATATCTGTACTTTATTCCTCTAACACTGACCTGTTGCTCAGCCCAGATTTTAATTCTCTGTCATTGGTAACCATGATACTAGCTACCACAACCCCAACTTCTGGGATTTCCTTCCTAAATCTCTTCACTTTTCTTTCTTTCTTTCTCCCTTAAAACCTACCTTTGACCAAAGTTTAGGTTCATGGATTCATTGAGTGCAGAAAAGGCCCTTTGACCCATCAAGCTGCCCCAACTTAACTACTACCAACAACATCCTAATCCCAATTTCCTGCACTTGTCATATATCCTTGAATGTTATGATATTTGAAGTGCTCATCCAAATATTATTTTAAAGGTTGTAAGGTTTCCAGCCTCCACTACCCTCCCAGGCAGTGCATTCCAGTTTCCCACCACCCACTGAGTAAAAAAAGGTTTTCACAAATCCCCTCTGAATCTCTTGCCCCTTACCCTAAAACTATGCCCTCTCATGATTGACCCTTCAACTAAGGGGAGCAGCTGCTCTCTATTCACTCCGAGATAGTAGGAACTGCTGATCCTGGAGTCTGAGATAACAAGGTGCGGAGCTGGATGAACACAGCAGTTTGCACATTCTCCCTATGTCTGCGTGGGTTGCTCCGGGTGCTCTGGTTTTCTCCCACTGTCCAAAGATGTGCAAGTTATGTGGATTGGCCAGACTAAGTTGTCCATAGTGTCCAGGGATGTGTGGATTAGGTGGATTAGCATGAGAAATGCGAGCTTACAGGGATAGGGTAGGAGGCTGGGTCTGGAAGAGACCGGCTCTTCAGAGAGTCGGTGTGGACCTGTTGGGCTGAATGGACTGTTTCCCCACTGTAGGGATTCTATGAACTCAAAAAGCTTTCTACCACAACCCTTTGTGTCTTATTACTAAGTCAGTTTCTGACCCAACTCGCTAAGTTTCCCTCAATTTCATGTACCTTCTCAATCAGTCTCTACGTAGGACCACGTCAAAAGCTTTATTAAAATCCATATAAACTACATCAACTGAACTGCCCTCATCCACACGCTCAATCACATTTTCAAAAAAATTGTAACAAATTTGTTAAGCATGACCTTCCTCTGACGAAGCCATTCTGGCGATCCCTAATTAACCCACGCCTTTCCTAGTGGGTACTAATTCACTCCTTCAAAATTTTCTCTAATAGCTTCCTTATCACTGACATGAGACTCACTGGTCTGTAATTTCTTGGTTCATCTCTACCACCTTTCTTAAAACATGGAACCACATTAGCCATCCTCCAGTCCTCAGGCACTCTCCCCATGGCCAGAGAGGAATTTAAAAATTTGTATTACAGCCCCTTCAATTTCCTGCCTCGCCTCCCACAGCAGCCTGGGATACAATTCATTTGGGTCAGGGGGATTTGTCTGTTTTTTAAGCCAGACAGAGCCTCCAATTTCTCCCTATTTCTTATGTCAAACTGTGCAAATTCCTCACAGTCCCTTTTCTTGAATTCCATACCTACGTAAATGGGGAGGCAATGGTCTAGTGGTATTATCACTGCACTGTCAATCCAGAGACCCAGATAATGTTCTGGGTACCCGTGTTTGAATCCTGCCATGGCAGAAGGGGGAAATTTGAATTCACTAAATATCTGGAATTAAGAATCTAATGATGATCATAAATCCATTGCCAATTGTCGGGAAAAACCCATCTGGTTCACCTAATGTCCCTAAGGGAAGGAAACTGCCATCCTTACCTGGTCTGGCCTACATGTGACTCCAGACCCACAGCACTGTGGTATGGGCAATAAATGCTGCCTAGCCAGTGATGCCCTCATCCCATGAATGAATAAAGAAAACAAAAGTTCTCCTTTTCCAGAATGAAGATGAAAGAGAAGTATTCATTCAATATGCTTTCAATATCCTGCAGCTTCACATACAGGTTGCCCCTTTGGACTCTAATAGGCCCTACTCTTTCCCTGGTTAACCTCTTCCCTTTAATGTATTTATAAAATGTCTTAGGATTATCCCCAAACTGTTTGCAAGTCCTTTTCCATGCCTCCTTTTTGCTCTGCTAATTGCTTTCTTAAATTCCCTCCTGCACTTCCTGTATTCCTTTAGGGCCACACTGAATTGCTCCCTTTGGACTTGTTAAAAGCTCAACTCTTCTTCCTTATCCAGTTCTAAATTCTCCTAGACATTCACGGTTCTCTTAACTTATTGCTCCTACATTTCCCTCTAAATGGTACATGTTGGACCTGTATTCTCCCCAGCTCCTTTTTGAATGGTCCCATTGCTCCACTGTACACTTACCCACAAGGAGCTGTTCCCAGTCTACTGTGGCCAGATCCTGCTTTATTTTAATAAAAATTTGCCTTCTCCCAATCCAAAGCAGTCTTTTGCAGGCCATCATTTTCCTTGTCCAGAACAAATGTGAACCGTACCATGTTGTGGTTGCTATCACTAAAATCATAGAATACCTACAGCGTGTAAGCAGGCTATTCGGCCCATTGAGCCTGCACTGTCCCTCCAAAGAGAATCCCATCCAGACCCACACCCCGATCCCCATTACCCTGCATTCACCATAGCTAACCCACCTAGCCTATATATCCCTGGACATTCTGGGGCAATTTGGCATTGCCAATCCACCTAACCTGCACATCTTTGGAATGTGGGTAAAAGCAGAACACCTGGAGGAAACCCACACAGACACGGGGAGAATGTGCAGGCTCCACACAGTCAGACACCAAGGGTGGAATCTAACCTGGGTCCCTGGAGCGGTGAGGTAGCAGTGCTAACCCAAATATTCCTTAACTGCTACATCAAAGACTTGTCCAGCTTCTTTCTCCAGAACCAGTTCCAAGCACTGTGCTGTTCCTTGTTGGGCATTCTATGTATTGATACAAAAATCTCCCCCCGGATACATTTCAAGAAATCCACCCCCTCTAAACCCTTAACACTATGACTACCCAATTTATGTTGGGAAAATTGAAATCCCCCAGTATAACTACCCAATAATTACTCTTACACACCTCTGAATCTGCCATTACATCTCCCTATCAAGGTGATCAACTACCCGGTATTTGAACTGTATTTTTCTGACCATGTTCAACCAAATTTCTACCCGGACCCTACGGTAAACTATCGCTCCGCCCTGTTTTTTTTGGATTTCAACATGATTGACACACCTTACAACGCCTCCCCTCTGATGCAACTGTGCTCACCCAGTTGCACTATCCATCCAATGGATGTTCCCCTTGTTGGCAAGGCCAGGACTACGGGGCACTTTGTCCCTTTAAGGGCGCCTTTTGACCTGTATTTCTAAGACAGGGATACTCAGCCCGAGAGTCTCAGTTAAAGAGTTTTAGGGGAATCAAGTCTGTGAGTCACCAACATGTGGCACATTAACCATCCGCATTAGCTCAAACATAAAATTCTTTAATATCTGATTTTCTGCGTTTTTTAAAATCAACCCAAACCTCCTCAAATTGATCAGCAGCAACCCCCACCCACCCGGTCCCAAGGTCGTTGTGCGCCTTATTTTACTTTTTTATGTAAAAGTTGGGTCACACCCTGCTCCCTTGTTATATAACAGTTTAAGTGATTCGTTTGAAGCGCCTTTGGGACACACATTGAGCCAGTGACAGACTCCGAAAGCACACACCGCCAGGTCATCCCCATCTCACCCGGCAGCAGGAGGGACGTGGGCCCGGCCACAGAACCCGGGCCCGGCTCAACAGCCGCCGGCAGCCGCTCAGCTGCAGCCTGAGAGCGAGCGCCATGGCCTGGGCCCCGCTCACAGCTTTAAAAATACTGTCCACGGACGTGAAGAGGCAGGCTGTCCTTTATCTTCCCTTCTGTAAGGTTTGAAATCTCTTAAACGTCGAAAGTCACAAATGACAACAGCATCATCGAGCAGGATTTTCCCCTCCCCCTTAACCTGTAATTCATTCGGTCCGGGTGGAACAACGTGCTCCTACCACTGTGTTCCGACTCATTACAATCATAGCTCAGTTCCTGGACTGTCAGCTCTGAAGGAGCTGGGTATAATGAGTTAGTGGAAGTTGCAGATTGAGAAAAGTGGCTGAGAAAAGTGGCTAACAAAGCAAACAGTATCCTAGGCTTTATTATAAAGGGCCCCAGAGAACAAGAGCAAGGAGCTTGTGTTAAATTCGTGTAAAACAGTAGGTTGGCATCAACTGCAGTATTTGCTCCAGTGAAAGAGTGCAGGATTGATTCACAAGAATGAATTCCTCATCACTGGAAACATTTTAAAAAAGATAGTTTGGAGAAAAGGTTTGATGGGGGTATTGAAAATCAACTGGGGTCTGTATAGAAGAGATTAGTTTTTCCCAATCTGTCAGTAATACTGCACTGAAAAAGGACAAACTAGAAAGATGGCCCACCCTTTACCTATGATTTATTTGTCAGATACCTAATATTATAGAAAAAAAACACCAAGTTCCTTTGAAGTGATTTGATATCTAATTAGTCTATTAAGTTTATTTCAGTGTAGTTATAAAGGATGCTGGGACAGCTTTAGTAATGATCTGTCCAAATAACTCAAAGGGAAAAATGCTAATCCTCTATACAAGTAAGTCACATTCAATATTACAATTTAACCTAACTTATGGTGAAATGGTGAATTGGTGATTGTAAAAGACTATTACATTGCCTCCATCTTAAAGTTAAAAAATAATTGATAACTAACGTTCTACCACTTTCAGTTCTTAAATGTAGGTACAAATTTTAAGTTTTTGTAAAAGAGTATTTGACTCTGCACAGTATCTCAACGTCAAATATTTAAATAAAAAGCTTCTTCCCATTCACAAGTCTGTTTCTAAATCTGTTTTTGATACTGGAGTTTGGGTGAATTTTCCAAAGCACCCGAATGTAAGACAGGGTTTAGATGCGGATATCTTTCCATCACCAAAACCACCTATTTCCACCACAAGCTCACCTTCCTCACCAGTCATCTTACCTATTGTGAAAGCCCTCATCCAATTTTGTTACTTACAGACTCAGGAGAGATGATGGCCTGTTGATATTACTGCTGAACTATTAATCCAGAATTTTAGGTAAAGTTCTGGCAATCTGGGCTCAGATCCCATCATGACAGATGGTAGAATTCGAATTCAAATGAAAACAAAATGTTATGAATCCAGATGACTATACAACTATTGCCAATTTTTAGGGAAGAAAAAAACCATCTGGTACACTAATGCCCTTTAGGGAAGGAAATGTGCCATCCTGGTGTGGCTTATATGTGACTCCAGACCCACATCAATATGGTTGATTCTTAACTGCCTTCTGTGTAATTAGGAATGGGCAGTAAATGTTGGCCTAGCCAGCAGCACCCATATTCCAGTGAATGAATTAGAAAAAAAAAACTTGACTCCCAACTGGCATTATATCTTACACCTGTAAACTGAAGCGCATCCAAAATTCTGCTACCTTTACACCAACTAAACCTAGTCAATTTAACCACCATTCCTGTGCACACTGACCTACACATTGAACACACTATAGCATGTTTTAAAATTCCTCTATAGCCTCACCTCTTATTCATGCAACCTGAACAAATATCCTGGCCTTTTGAGCAACCCCAATTTTGCAACATCATGAATGGCTATACTTTCAGTAACCCAGATCCCAAGCTCTGACAGTCTCTGCAGACCGCAAATCTCTTCCTTTAAATAGATGTTTAAATATTACCTTTTCTTTCACAAAATTCCGGTCAACTGTCTTAAAATTTCATTATAACTCAGGAGCAAATTTTATTTGTTAAGTCACTCCTGTTAAGTATCTTTGGATGTTTTACTATGTCAAAATAAAAAAAAAAAGAATCAAATCGTTGTATTATCTTTAGTCATTTAGACTTCATGTGCAACAATTATCTTCCTCAAGCCCTTCAAATGCCTGTCCCCCTCTCTCCTCTAAGGATGCTCCTTGATAACCATCTAACACACACACCCTTAAGTGTTCAATTATTTCCATAAATTTGTATGGCTTGCTAATAGATTACCGATTTCAGCAAGACTACTTCTCATTCCTCGAGCTGGACCTGGTAGGCTTATGCCCATTGGAGTTCAGAAGGACAAGTGATCCTACTGAAACACGAGATTCTGAGGGGACTTGTCAAGGTGGATGCTGAGCTGCAATTTCCCTGGTGGGACAGGTTAGAGCTGGCAAACAGTTTAAAGCTAGGAGTTTCCTAGTTAAGACTGAAATGAGAATTTTATTTTTCTCATGGCGGGATACAGTTAGTTGGGGCCAAAGTGAGATCTTATTGAATGGCAGATCAGGCTTAAAGATCTGAATGGCCACCTCCAAAATTTGTGCACGCCTTTGGCGATTGGTCAAGATGGCAATGTATGTGCAATTTATTGTAGTTCACGATAATGAAATCTAGATTCCTGCTTTTAATAACATTTTAACCAAAAAAAAAAATCACATCATAGCAAACACACCCAGGAGAATTTGGTACTATATCTATATATAAAACATGGATGATCAAGAGGAGTAAGTTATTTGGCAAATAGAGCCATTCCACCATTTAACATGATCATGGTAGATCCTCTACTTTAATGCCACATTCCTGCTCTCTCCTCTAATCATTTGGTTAAATACAAAGTTATGCTGTGATCAAACATTTTTCATTTGGACTTGGTAATAAAGAATGAAATTAAGTTTAATTAAGGTAATGAATATATTAATGAAATATACTGAATATTTATTATACACATTACAAGGTATTGTCAGTCGTGTAATTACAGCACCGTAGACAGATTTGAACAGGAACAGCACAAAACTGTTGACCTTAGTGGCCACTATACAACAATTTTATTATTCTTATGCAAGCTAAATTACATAATACTATTTGTTTAATCTCCACTAGTTTATATTCATGGATATAATTTTTAAAAATTCACTGATTTATTTGTTAAAGAGGAGAAAAATGGGGAGTCAAAATATATTTTAAGAGCTGAAATTTTAAATGTACCACTTAGAAATAAACTATTTATAATATTCTATGAAAAGTACTTTCATTTTATAGGTACACTACCAAGCATTTGGTTTTTGGTCAAATTTAAAAGTGGTCTCTCTATGCTTTATGTAGAAAACGATCCAAGTAATGGAAACATGCAGTAGGTTATTAGCTTTGTAAAAGAAAAAGACAAAGACAATGCTTTAATTAACTTACACTCAAATATATTAACTGAAGAATGAACGAGAATAAAAAAATATTCAAGATGCTAGAAATTGGAAATAAAAACAGAATCAATTAGCAAGTAAGGCAGCATCTTTGAAGAATGGAAAAAAAAAAGGTTAGAGCAAAATTTCATGTTTTTTGACCTCTCATCATACCTTGTTTCAGGTCTATGACTTTTCATTGCCCAAAGAAGGATTCATAGACCAAAAACAAAATCCTAATCTTTGAAATTTTACACAGATGTAGCCTGACCTGCAAGAATTTATGGCATTTTCTGTTTATTGTCAACTTCAAATATTAGGTTTTATTCACTTTCAAAGGCTGATCAACCTGTTAACACTTGCAAACTTTTTCTTTGTTTTTGACATTTTTCTAAAAAAGGATAAAACGGAAGAACTCTACAGAATCAGAAATCGATGCCCTTCATAATTATCACTGGATTGCTTTGATTCAATGGATATATTTTCAAATGGATAGCTCTACAGTAAAAGATGTAAACATAGTAACAAAAAAACAAAAAAAGCCACATACACGGCCCATGCACCCACAAAAGGCCACTCATTAGATTGGCTTCTATAAATGACAAACAATATTTGGATTTTAAAAAGACAAATGATATTTATACAAGTGCATAAAATGGTGAATATATAATTTCTTTAGGAGGATAACGGAATAGTAATGCTTAGGGAATTTAAACCTGTTCAAAAAGTGCATAACAATGGTTAGTGCTATAAAAACCTCCACAGCAGCCTGATACTTTATATTCTTTACACTGGTGGTACAACTTTAAAAGTATCGTACAATATTAAATTTTACCGCTAGGTCCATTGAGCAGAGGGTGATAAACCAGTAGGTTAAGTGAGGGGTCTAATCATATCAATTACTTCCATTTTCTTCCCTCCATTGGTGATTATCTTAAAACAAGAAAGTCATAATAGTAGGCCAGGAAAGGGATTACAAACCATAACAATTTCTTTATGCAGAGACAATATGTATTTCTATTTTCATTTTGATCTTGTTTATGCTGATACACAATTTAAGAGGATACCCGAACAGTAATATTTCAGGAGTTCAAACGTATTCAAAGAGTGCAATAACCATTTCTAAAAAGTGATGCTATATCCTTAGAGTACTATTAACTATTCAAAAGAAAGATTCAGACAGAGAGTTATTACATTAAGTGTATTTTCAATTCGGTCCATATCAGGTTGTCAAAATCAACATAGATGGTACGAATCATGGAATTGACTGCTAGCACACTTCAGATATACTGAAGGTAAATTATTTCTTTTATCCCTCTTTCCAATCAAATAACCAGGATCCTTAGTTTTTGCAAAAGAATACTGGTGAAAAAAAGCACAAAGGGATAAATTATTAGTGTGATCATCAAGGT